GCATGCCATTTCCCAGAAGAGGAGCTCCACAGCAGTAAGAAAAAACTTAGAAGCCCTGGTTTGATGTCATTCCAAACACCATTCCTATGGAAAAAAGAGCACACAGAGTTCAGGCATGGCTACAGCAAACACTGCTGACCAGAGGGCTTTGATCTGCAGGGGAAGAGTGGAATCCCCCACATGACAGATGTTTGATGGTCATTTATATGTGGAAGCAAGAGATATTCACCAGGGACAGAAGTGCTGAGTCAGGGATGGCCAAATCCAATTGGTCTGCAGCTGCCAAAACATGTTGGTATGAAGTTGGGAATATGTGATTAAAAGCTGTCATAGCCATAACTGTTCTCTGGTATCAAAAAAAAAGCTTTAATACTCTGTTCTTAACCTGTTGACTTAAGCAGTAAAACAGTGATAAAAACCTGATAAATGTTCATTATCTGAAAGATTAGAATGGCATTGAGAATTATTTTCTAAACATCAAATCCAGGTTCTCAACAGCCTTTGGCTGCACCAGGAATTAGAATCCAGAGCTCTGAGAACAAGGCAGCGACCACACAAGCAGAGCTGAAACCTGATTCAAACTGGACAGAGTCACACTTTTATAGCAACCTTTAAAAAAAGAAAACACAAAGAAAGTAAAACAAATCTTTCTGTTGTTTGTTTTAAATTGCATTTGAGCACAGAGTCTATGTGTGCCACAATCCAATTTCATGGCTTACTGTTTTCCAGCAGCAATCAGTGGCAAAACACTTCAGGTTTCTTCCAAGTTGATGCCTTTATTTGGTGCAGGAGATTAAAAAATAATGATAATAATCTCAAGAGAAGAGAGACTGAGCAGGTGACTCCAGAAAGAATGAAATTTTCATGATATTCAACAAAAATGCGCCCCTTGTTTACAGGCAGCTTCTGCCACGAATTTGGTGCATTCCTTGTCCCTTGTGCTTACTTTTCAAGAAAGCCACTGTGGCACTGCTCACAATCCTGCTTGGAAAAGCCCAAACAAGCCAGCTTTAGAATTGCTGCACAAGGTCATGTTTGATCATCGGGGAGCACAGACATCCCGCTATTCATCCGAGGCCGAGGCTGCCGGGCCCGGCGCTTCCACGGGCTCCCAGCTCAGCTGCCAAACAACAGCCTTCAACAAGGATGAATTTACATCCATCTACATCAACCACCCTTTTGTTCCCCTCTGCAGAAGCAAGGAGCAGTTCAAACTCTTGTTTGGGGCACTTTGGAATGAAAAACACAAAAAGCCGAGCCCTGGGAATGGTTTGGGGTGGAAGGGACCTTAAATCCCATCCCATTCCACCCCTGCCATGGCAGGGACACTTCCACCATCCCAGGCTGCTCCAAGCCTAGTCAAACCAGGCTTGGACACTTGAATATTTCCCTAAATCTCTCCAGCAAACCTCTTCAGAGTCATTAATAAACACTTCAATAAAAAATCCATACAGGAACTCTCAGGAAGGATGAGCAGCAGGAAATTATCCCCCGAATTCAAGTCCTGTTTTCCAAAGCCCCTTGAGGACACCAAGATCCACAGTTACACACAAGAAAATGACTGGATGTTGTGATGCAACCAAATTCCACAAGTTAAGCAAAACAGCCCAGTCTTCTGCTATTCCAAGTACTTCTAGAAAATACCATGGAGTGCAGGAACTCGTGATGATCCAGCTGATGGTGTGACCTTGTTATCAACCCAGCCTTAAACAAATTAGGACTACAAAGCCCTACTGAAAAGCTGCAGGTTCACTCACGGGTCATGCTGGTATGAAAACCCATCCTGGGAAACATCTAACCACACTGGGAATTTACCTGGGATGGGATCTGACCAGCCACTTCCCAGTGCTGGAGGTTAAATTCCATTTACAGTCTCCAGCAGCTTTTTTAAATTGTCTGCTCAAAGACCCCAGTGAAATGTGTGTTTCTTCATTAACCACACACAACATCTATTTCAGCGTGAAACAGATGCATTTCAGAATTTCTGAAAGCAAACAGAACAAATTGATGTCATTTTTAAACACTGCCTTGAGATTTTAATTTTTTATGACCACGGTGGGAAGACCTTTCCAGGAAAGCCAGATTAGAGAGACACTGGGGACATAAAAATACTATTTTTTAAACAGCACATTATTAAGTTCCAGTTCTCATCTTTGTTATTACAACCTCTTCCATGAGTCTGTAATTCAAGGTATCTTGGTGAAATGCTGTGAGGGATAAATTATTCCAATGGTTTAATATTAATATCCTGTATTAAAAAGAAAAAAAAGAGCTTTCCCACCATGGATGAGACAGCTAACAAGTCAGGATTGTAATGGAAATTACTTCCAAGACTGCTAGACACAAACTTGGATCTATTTACACAGGCTGTGAATAGACAAGAGTTTATTTACAGATGGTTTCTCCCCAGCCCTGAAATGCATTTTGGGGAAAAAAGATATTAAAACAACATCAACAATCCAGCACTTAGGAGCAATGCTACAATCAGCCATTGTGTGCCATGTGACAGACAAGAGAAATAAACCCCACAAACACTAAGAAAACACATCTCTGTTTAAAGCTTTCATGGTAGTAATGAAAAGCAAAGTGGGCAGGAGAATTTTGGAAAAGCCTTTAAATATTCTTCTGTAACCTAATAGTGAAGATAAATATTTGCTTAACCTCCACCTTCACCATCCAAAAAAGAGCCAATTACTCTAAAAGCTACCAAATGCCCCGAGAAGAATTTAAAGCATTAACCACAACCACCAAAAAGCATCTGAGGAAGAGGCAGATGTCCCACAATCAGAGAGGCTGCCTGGCTTAGACATCCCAAAAACAACTGTGCTGGAGACGCTGGTGACTCACTATTAGTGAAGGAGCAGAGAAACCACTTGAAGAGGTGAGGGGAAAATTCCATTTTAATTTAAGAGCCCTCTCTAGCAAGCCCTTCCCGAGCTCTGCAACATAAAAACACTTGGATATTCACTAATAAATTCATTTTATAAACACTTCCGACAGCCCTCAGCGAGCACAAGATATGCTGTCTGCACTGTGACTTACCAGGGGCTAAGAAAAATAAAAGTACAATGTTTATACATTAAGTCCTTTCAAGAAAAAAAGGTTTACCTTACTTCTGAAATTATCATAACATCAATGACTTTAACAAATAAGTTTGCTGTGCATATTTGTCATAAGAGGCAGTGCCATCTGATTCAGTATTCCCTTGATACATCTCCTGCTGCAGGCCTTTACAAAAACAAAGAGCAAACCAATGACCTAGAAACAAATGCAGCCTCTCAAACTCCTTTAAACTCATTAACTTTATACTTGTTTCGGACTCATAAGAGCGCCTGAAACTCCTGCCAAAAACTTTGATTGAAATTTGCCAGGCTGCACGAGGAGAAAGTTTGGGTTTACTCCTTATCTGAAACCGTTTGAGGAGTAGAAGGAGCATTTTTCATAAGCCAGGGAGCGGAGGAGGGGGCAGAGGGCTGTGGTTTTTTTGTTTAAAGGGGATGGATGTGTTTACATGGCACGGAGCAGAGCCATGCATCCAGCCCAGCTCCGGAAGCGGAAGCTGGATGACATGTCAGCACAGCTCTCCACTAATTACCAGGATAATGAGAAGCAGAGTATTTCTTTTTCCACAAAGAGATGACACAAAAACACTTCCCTGCAACGCAACTAGTTGTTTCTTGTCGTGCTGCCTGGTTATTTCTTGTCATGCTGCCCTGCACTGGGCAGGCACACACAAACAAAGCAGCTCAAGGTAGGCAGAGTTCCAGATTTATGACAGTTGAAATGCTCTTTTAAAGGATTTAGTGCTAGAATCCCTAAGAAAGAAGCTGACTGATCTGTGCACAGCACTGTAGGATTAAAAGAAATAAAAGAGGAAGGTAAATATGCACCATGAAAACTTTTAAAAATAACTCCCTGAGGTCATAAGTAACCATTTCAAAGGGGTGGTGGGAACAGGATCCATCCATAAAACTTCAATTTGAACATTAGCAAAGAGCCCTCCCCCAGCAGGAGCAATTACTGCTGCCTTTCATGTGGCACAGCAACACACCTTCCCTTGCACGCTTGGCTGTGTCAGGTCTATTTTAAACACACTCAACAGCACTACAAAGGAAAACATCCCACAGCCTCCCTCCCCGTGCAGCTGAACACGCACATTGCCAAGCACAGGTTGAAAACTTTGAGGCTTTCTTTATAATTGACCCAGCCCTGAAAGCGGCTGAGCATCCCTGAGGTGCAAGGAACATCCCTGAGGTGTGAGGACAGGGCTCACACGAGAAGAACACACCACTGCCTGCACCTCCTGTCCCCCACGCCTGCGGTTCTGTTGATGTGAGCACCAATATGGAATTACAAAATCCATACTGGATTGGAAGGGACCTAAAAGATCACCCAGTTTCAACTCCCTGCCATGGACAGGGTCACTTTTTGTATGCACCATTCCAAGAGCATCTACTTGATGTGCTGCACTAACTCTACCTCGTGCTGCAGCTCCGTTCCAGCTTCTGAAGAGCTTTAATCTGCTTCTGCCTTTCACGGGCTATTATTAACCTCGGGGATAAAGTGGCACCCTTTTAATCAGGTGCTTTAACTGGATGCGTTCTGCAAACAGGTACAGCCAAGAGATATCCTCTACCTCCTCGGGCAGAAACGTGGGAAGAATCGCCTGCGATATTCACCAATAAAACCTCCAAGAAGGGCAGCGGTAAGAGAGAACCTTCTCTGGTGCTGCAAGCACAGAATCCCAGGATGGTCTGAGTTGGAAGGAACCTTAAAGATCTCATTCAGTCAAACCCCTTGCTGTGGGCAGGGACATCTTTCACTATCCCAGGCTGCTCCAAGCCCCGTGCAACCCGGCCTGGGACACTTCCAGGGATCCAGGGGCAGCCACAGCCTCTCTGGGCACCCTGTGCCAGGGCCTCACCTCCCTCACAGTCAATCCTTCTCCACACAAGTGGGAATCCTCCGGCTTTGCAGAGGCGGCCCCCCCCATCGCTCACCTTGTACACGTCGCCGTAGGTGCCGCTCCCCACCCGCTGGATCAGCTCGTAGTCTTGCTGCGGGTTCCGCCTCAGGATATCGCCGCTGGCCCGCGCCGCCGGCTCCATGTCCAGCGCCGCGTCCCCGCCGGCCCCGGGATGCTCCTAGCGCGGCGGCCCCCGGCCCATGGCTCCTGCGGCGGCAACGGCGGCTCAGGGGGGCTCCGGGCGGCCCAGACAAAGGCGGGCGAGCGGCCGCGCCCTCCGCGGCTCCCGGGGCTCCTCGGGGCAACCAGGAAGAGCCGGGGCGGGCGGGGAGCGAGGCCGGGCGGGGAAGGAGCTCCGGTGCCGCCGGCGGTGCGGCCCGTCCGCCGGGGCGGCCAGGCCGGGCCGGCTCCTACCTGCGCGCCGCAGCCCTTTGTCCCGCCAGGGAGGGAGGGAAGGGAGGGGGAGCACCGCCACCGCCGCCTCCTCCTCCTTTTCCTACTCCTCCTCCTCCTTCTCCTCCTCCTTCTCGTTCTCCTTCCGCGGCCGAGCCGGGCCGGGTTCGCTCGGCTCGGGACGGGACGGGCCGGCAGCGCCTCCGCGCCGCCGCAGCGCCCCGGCGCGGCCAACGCGGGCCCCGCTCCCGGCCCGGCCCCGCTCCCAGCCCGGCCCCGCTCCCAGCCCGGCCCAGCGCCGCTTCAGGCTCGGCCCCGCTCCGCTGCTGCCGGCCCCGCTCCGGGAACCGCTGCCGTGGGGCTGTTACAGGCGCTGCCCGCCCCGCGGCCCGACCGCTGCCGCGTCCGGGGCTTATGGAATCCCAGCGTGCTTTTGGTTGGCAGGGAGCTTAAATCCCATCCCATTCCATCCCCTGCCGTGCCAGGGACACCTTCCACCAGACCAGGGTGCTCCAAGCCCCAGTGTCCAACCTGGCCTGGGAAACTTCCAGGGATCCAGGGGCAGCCACAGCTGCTCTGCGCCAGGGCCTCACCCTCACTCTCACAGCCAAGAATTTCTTCCCAATATCCAACTTAAATCTTCCTTTTCCCAGCTTAAAGCCATTCCCTCTTGTCCTGTCCTTCCATCCCTTGTCCCCAGTCCCTCTCCAGCTCTCCTGGAGCCCCTTCAGGCCCTGCCAGGGGCTCTGAGCTCTCCCTGGAGCCTTCTCCTCTCCAGGTGAACATTCCCAGCTCTCCCAGCCTGGAGCAGAAGGTTTCCAGCCCTTGGAGCATCTTTGTGCCTCTTCTGATCCTGTTCCAACAGGTCTTCGTTGTGGAGGCAGAAGTGCAGGTACAGGCAGGGCTTTCAGCCTGTACCCCTCGGTTTGAGGCAGGAAGAAAGCCTCCAGTTTGGCTACAACACCTATATTTTATATATATCTCTATCCATATATCTGCTGATACCAAACAGCAGGCTGAGCTTTCCATCTTTCACACCAGAAGCTGGGATACTTCCCGAGAGACTCGAGAAGGAAAAGGAGGAGGAAGACGAGGAGGATGTAGGACTGATCTGGATTGCAGCCTTGCAGCCACATCGTGTAATCCTTCTCATGGGCTAATCAGGTACCTACCATGGTATTTAGCTTTGTGGGTAACCAGTGTAATGAAAGTCACACCAGAATTACCTCAGACTTGTTGGGACTTGTCTCCCTGGGCTGCGTAAGTCAAAAAAGCTTCTGTGAACCTGCAAAGTGGAAAGCATTTATAACTGACTTTCCCAATTATTTTCAGCAAAGCAGCTGAAATTCTGGGCAAAGCTCACCCATGGTCTCTGAAATGAGCGCTGAACAATTTTAGAAGGCCAAAGATCTGGATAGGGAGTAGAGGAATGCTGGAATTTGCAGTAGCACTTGCTGCAAGGAGAATCATTAGGGCCTGAAAGGAGGTGTGATTTTCTAGGCGTAAAAACTACCACATACTCAGAGCAGGAAATATGCAGAAGTTAGGTAGAAAAATTCAAATGGATGCCAGATGTAGGAGTCTCTGGTGTCCAGGATTGCTTATTTCAGAACAGATTCTGCTGCTTTGGCAGCCACACAGCCCAGGCAGGGCCAATGTAGTCTAATGACAATGTAGCCAGGCATTGATCCTGGGTTTAAAATGGAGCCTGGGCTTTGAACTTGGTCCTACATTTAGAAATCCCACATGTAGTACCTGACAGAGTGGTGTGGATTGCATAAGATTTTCCTTCAAACCACAGGCTCCATAGCAGATTTCATTAGGGTCTGTGGTGCTTTAGGTTAAACTCAAAGGCATCGTGTGCAGACTCCTGGGAATTGCATAGTGGCCTTTGGGTTTATTGGGATTTATTTATGGGCTCGTTTGGGCTGCAAAATGTAACCTGCCCTGCCTCCCAGAAACAGGAGAGCTCAGGGCTGCTCACTTAAAGAGATTCCCATTTAATTTCCTCTTGTCCTCTCCAAGCCTTCTGCATCCTGTACGTCCTTTCCAACATAAATACCTAAGTTTTCCTGAACCCCCAACAAACAAGAAACTATTTACCCTTTAGAGAGCTGTATTTCCTCAAGTGACTTTTAACAAAGCAATTACCTTTCCCCTCATAAATCAGCTTCCTGTGCTCCCGATAGGGAGCTGTTTGTGTCCTTTTTCTTTCCCCTTCCTCAGCTGATGCTTTTCACTCTGCTGACTTGCTGCTCCTGACAAGCCATGGGATGACAGCACAACAAAAAGGACATTTCATTTTCCAGTGGCAGATGGTGCATTAAGACTTGGCCTCCTGGAACATCTCTCAGATCTGAGGGGCTGCAATTCACTGCAAAAGCTGCTGTCCTTAGTCCTTGTTAAGTGTCACTTCCCACCTGGAGGTGCAGTTTCTCATCCCATCTTGCCAGTGGTGGAGAGTGAGCTCTCAAAACCCAGATTAAAGCTCTCGTGTTCTGAGCTTTAATCCACCTTTCCCGGCTTGGTTCCTTGCTGGAAGAACATCTGGGAGGTGTCCGTAGATAAAAGCAGCACCGGGACTGGATTATTGTTACCATTTCATGATTAGGAAAATGAGGAAACTGCCTGAAATTGTGCCAGGGGAGGCTGAGGTTGGATATTAGGGAAAATTTCTTCAGGGAAAGGGTGGTCAGGCATTGTTTGCCCAGAGCAGTGGTGGAGACCATCCCTGGAGGGTGACAAGAGCAGTGTGGATGTGGCACTTGGGGACATGAGTCAGTGATGACCATGGCAGTGCTGGGTTAAGGCTTGGGCTCAATGGTCTGAGAGGGCTTTTCCAACCTTAATGATTTAATTAACGATTCTAATGAGTTGTGCAGAGTTTTCAGTGCAAGACATGGACCCTGTGCCCTGCCAGGCCCATGCTCCTGAGCACACACTGCATTTTCCACCCCAGACCACGCTGCTTTTCTGGTCAAGCGTGTTCAGGAATGTGCTTTTATGCAGCATCTTCCATCTGAACAGGTCGCAGCCTTAAAAGGAATGTTAAGTGGTTTTACATAAGGCATTACGTGGGTTTGGAGAATGTGATCTGTTTGTGCTGCAGTCTGAGGAGGAAGAACAGCCACGGTTCTTTTAACGAGACACTGAGGAGCACCAGGTAACGGTGGCTGCAGAGCTGGAGGGATTTCTGACTGAGCAAGATAATAAAGGTGGTTTTAAAAGCAGTGAAAATACTACAACTCTGGTGGGTTTTTTTGACTACTAAAATATCTTTAATTTTACACAGTCTAGCAAACTCACATGCAAGGCATTCATAACTGCTGCAGCACCTTCCCTATGGTTTGAATTTATTTTTATTTTTTTTAAAGTTTGTGGTTTGTGTTTTTCAGGCTGGTTTTCCTCCCCAGTGGAACACACACTTGCTTCACCCATGGCCACAAGTGAAGGGCCTGCAGTGGAGCCATTCCCAGGCTTTCTGTGGATAATTTTCCACCCCTGAGTCCAGTTCAGGATGCTGCACCTCCTAAAGCTTCTTGGCATTCCTTTGGCAGCTTTCAGTGCTGTTCATGCTGCTTCACCTGCTCTGCTATCAGAATCCAGAATAAGAGGGATAGGGAAGATTTTGTGGGATCCTGAATGGTTTCTTGTTTCTGGAATGGCCCTTTGGGGGCCAGTTGGGATGGCAGCAGATATGGGTACGTGATGACAGGTACAAAAAATGCCTGCAAAAAAATAAAGAGCAGAAAGAGAGAGAAATCTTGGCAAGATGGATGGAGAGAACACAGCCAAGGGCAAGAGAAGGAGACATCCAGGGCTGTTTGATGTTTCTTATGTCCAGCTTGGGAATTCACTTGCTCAAGGAAGCATCAGTCTGCCATACACTGAGGATCTCTCCAGGGCTTGTGCTGAGATGCTGTGGGAAGAGAGAAAAGGCACTAAAGGGAGAGAAAAGCCTTTTGTCCCTTGCAGGAACAGGAGAATTGAACAAGACACAGCTCAGGCCTGTGTGCAAGGATTTGTTTTTCACGGAAGGAAGAGGGGCACAGTGGCTATACATTATATTTGTGTCACCCCGTTTACGTAGATGCATCTCAGGAGACTTTGCAGCTGATTGTGCTCTTTGCATTCAAAGGAAGGAAACCAGCTGGATGCCCTTCCCTCCCACGAGCACGCACAGGAGGGCAGAGGTTGAGACCAGACAGCAACTGCTCAGCACAAGGATGCAGGAAAATATGGCCATTTCCATGAAAAACAGCATTAAAAAGGGAAATTCAGAGCACTGCCTGGAAACCCGGCTGCTTCCCCTGTTTCCAGGTGCACCAACCTGGCTGGAACATTTTGCAAGTATCCTGCTGAATCATCCAGGCAGGTGGATTTGGTTGGTTCTGCCAAGAGGAGCTGGAAGCCTTTTTCTGGCTGAGGTGTATCTTCAGGGGGAAATCCTAGAAACAAACTTGGCACGCACGGATTTTGGCTTGGGCTCACTAAAGCCACGTTGCAAACAAAAAGGAGGCTGATGAGGAAGGATGTTTTCAATGGTGTCCATCTGCCTGGCAGGGCAGGAGAGAGGGGACAAATTAAAAACAGGATCGGAAATAGATGGGAAGTTTGGCTTAGGAGAGATGCTCTGCCTTGCTGACCTCTAAATTGTAGAATCGTGGAATTACCCTGAGGATCATCCAGTTCAACTCCTGGCCCTGCACAGGCACCCCAAAAATCCCACCCTGTGCCTGAGAGCTCTCCTGGAGCTCTGGCAGCCTTGGGAACGTGACCATTCCCTGGGAAGCCCCACCACACTCTGGGGAATGAACCTTTTCCTAAAAGAGAAATAAGAGGATCACAGTCAGATGGTGCAAAGACAGCCACTGAGGTAAAACCAGGCCTGGGCTGATGATTCTTTATCTCCATGTTTATTTTATTCTTAAGTAGCTCCTTTAGTTTATGGAGCATCTTCCAGAAGAAAGAACCTCCAGACTGATTGATTAAACAAGTCACTTAATTAACTGCTGGAATTCTGTCTCCTCCACAGTGAAATACCTCTGTGCAGCCCTAGTGTGCAGTCGTGTTTACAGAAGCAGCAAAGATAATTCCTTTGGCTGCAAAGCCCATGTAAATGTAGGCGGTCACAGCACAATTTGGGGTGAGAAATGGGAGCTGCAGGAATA